TTAACAAAGTTGTATAAATTCTTATCGTTGTGATTTATTCATGATTTAAGATATATTCTTGTTTGTCAATCATAAATCGCTACATAAAAATTTATAATAGCTATGAAATTCGTGTTAAATTTTAACTATATATGTATAGACATTGTACTGTATTTTATATTATTCATAAATTTGTTTTGACTGTGAGATATTGTTATCTATAAAGTATATGTTTCTTATCTTATTATTCTTCAATATTGTTCACCATATTTCTGTATTAAAATCATTACAAAAATTTCGCTCTACTGTTTATCAGTAAAATATTTACACAAATTATAAGTCCAACGTTGCCAATATCCTTTTCAAATGACAAAAAGAAAGAACAAAAAGAATACGAACTTGTATCAAAATGTATCAAAACCATCAGAAATTATATTAAATTTTTCGAATCAAATTTTTCATTGCCTTCATGTTTCGCATGCCAATCTAAGATAAAAATTTACATTCTCGAAATCCAAATCTTGCACTCAATCTTCCAAATGAATAAATTAATAAAAAAAACTGATATAATGAAAAAAATGAATTATCTGTGTTTCAGATGAACAGTTACCATAAAACAGACGTTTAAAAATTGACCTCGAATCTTTGGTGGAATCGTAGAAATTCTCTTTCAGATGGCTCTGTCCTCAACAAACTTTCTTTTCCAAACTTTTCGCCAGATGGCGGAGTCCGTGCTTATGTCGCGACGACTTTGCTCCTAATGTTTAATTAACGCCGCATAATTGCCCGGCCAATTAGCCAACGCCGTTTAATATTAATCTGCAATTTGAATTCATTTCGATGCGTTTAAAATTTATTGAATACATAATTAATGCCGCGTGGCGCGAATGCAGATACGATGCACGAGCCGCCCCCGGCACTTTGTACACTCTCCTGATGATTTATTCCGACAGTCCTTTCGAAAGTTCGCCCTGAAAAAAACCCTATAAAAATAGTTAATCGTTCCCAAAAGCTTATGTGAGAGTCGCCACTTTTAAATTGTTTGGGTTTGATATCGCGTGCGTACATTGCGCGTACGATAACGTGAATATTGGGATGTAGATACAAATATGGAGACAATTACTTTATTTTGTATTGTTATGTGCTTTACAAATTCAAAAAGATGTTTTGAGTTTTTAGTATGTGTGTGCGAAAACGTTTTAATAACGTCATTATAATTCTTGAAATCGTATAATTGTAATAACGTTACTTTCCTGGAAAACGAAACTTTGTAGGGAAACAGGGAGAAGTTTGTAGAATTTATTTCATCTTATTTTTTAATATAAATTGTAGAGTTTATTCTGTGAAAAGTTTTATAATATATCATAGTATAAAAGTATAATTATTTCACATTATGTGTTTCAACATTTTATTATTCCTCAAAATTGATCAAATCATCGTTAAAAGAAAATTTTTTATTTGTCGCATTAACATCGATCAATTTTCACATGAAATTTAATCCAATATCGCAAAATAATTTTCGTAATTTTTATAAATTGAAGAACCAAGTGTCAAATATACTCAGCTCAAATCAAAAACCTAAGAAAAAAAGAAAAAAAGAAAAACAATTATCAAAACACCTTCATTCGTTCACCTCCTTCCACTTTTCCTTTCTAACAAAACCATGCGAATCGATACTCACTCCACACCATAGAACACTGAGAGGGTCGGTATGAGAGGGTGGTAGATTGTCTCTGTCATTTACCTGCACCTTCCAACAACGTCCCTTGCCCCTTCGTCTGCCACGTCCGAATATTCGTGAGGCTACCCCTTCCCGCAACGACCTGCCACCCTCGACACGCTCGACCCACCCCCTCGCGCCGATGCTGCGTGTAGCCGTCTCGCTCTAATCCAATTAAAAACGGCGGACGATCGCACGAAACAGCGGCTCATCGACCGCGGGAATTTTAATTGATGTTACAGGTACCCCGGAGAGGGTTGG